TTCTTTTCGGCGTTTTCCTTTCGATACTTTCCTTCTTCCATTATCCGCTTTCGACGTTTGCCTTTTCGGCATTTTGCTCTTCTACATTTTCCTCTTCGACGTTTTGCTATTTTTTTATCGACATTTTCCTTTTCGACATTTTTTCTTTCGATATTTTCCACCAAGACCATTTCATCGATCTGAAACGAAAATAATACGATTTTATCTGGTGTTTGAATATGAAAATGTTAATATATATAATACATATCTGAAAGATAAAAATTTACATTAATTTATTTTCGGCAAAACCAATTCAATTATTGTTTAAGATTCCTCCGTCCATTAAAATTATAAATTTATTTGTCAAAAGTCGATATCAAGCTAAGCACATCATCGGATAACTCAAGATGTTTGCTATAAACATTTATAATGATCTGGAATTTATCAAAGTTTCTTGAGGGCTTTTTGAAACGTTTTCTGAAAGTCTTGAAAAACTGTAATTTTACAATAAAAAATTCAATCTAAAAGTATTTTTAATATAATATTAGGACGTAGAAGAAACATTTCTGACAGAAAGGAGTCTCCTAGTCGTGGATTATATTTTAATTAAAAGTCGGGATATTAGCCCGGGCGGGATATATTTAACATTTTTACAGCGGAAGAAATTTCTGCTATATCCCAATCGGAATATAAATTTTTGAGAAGTCATTTTTGTCTGAAAAAAGGTCGCTAACGGGAAAAAAGAGTTAACCATGAGGAAAAAAGAATCTAGTGTAGTTTTTCCTCCTCTTTCTAATGGTGATAGCAAAACTTTCCGCGAACATTATCATTTTTTCGCTAATCAATATTATTTGAAAGAATCGAATTTATATCCCGATTGGGCTATATGTTTTTTGTCTATATCCTGATCGGGTCATATTTTGATTCAAAACGAGATATATATCACAATCGGGATATAGAGCATGAAACTCTACGGATCGTATCTCAAAGCAAAAATGATCTTTCGAACTTTTCATATTTTGTGGGAAGTCTTCGTCAGGTCAAATGTTGGAGAGGTCAGATTGATCTTAAATCGAAGCTAACACATTCAGCTCGAGTTTGATATGGCTCGATCTTTTTTTATATTCAGCCTAGATTTTGTGGTTAAAGAAATATTTTATGCAAGTTAATGATACTTTCTGAATTTTTCATTTTTGACGCTTTCCGTTATTTGGGACACCAAAGTATTAAAAATCTGACTCTATTAGTCTTTTGGGACATGTGTTTTTGCCACTGTAAGATCATCCACAACTTTCCATGAGACTTTGTTACCAAGAGTGTAAGAGCTTTCCGGTGGAAAATATCCCTGTCGATTAATAATGAGTTCTTTTTACAAATATAGAAATTATTATAAAAAAATACTATCAGAAAAAAATCACTATTTTATTTTTTTGGCAAAAATTAAGAGACAATATTGGAAAATAAATTTAGCACCAATAATTTAAATAAATATTACTCTTTTACTAACAAAACATGTATAAAAACTAGAGATCATCGGTAATAAAATGCATTTTCATGTAAAATATAGAAAAACGTACGAATAAAATGTAGCATAATGGTGAGCGCAAATAAAATAATCGTTTGTATCATATAAAAAAAAGTAGTTTCACAAAAAACAACAATAACACATTCTTTAAAAATAAAAATAAAAACGTTTCACTAATACATTAAAATAGCGACTAGATTTGGGAAATAAAGTTCTTTATTATTGTTCTTCTTTGGCACGATTTTCTAGCCATTTTGAACAAATATCTTTCACAGCTGTTTGCCCTGTTCGTTGTGCATTATTTAATATTAATCGAACCGCATCTTCTTTTCCTAAACGTATTGCTATTAAATAGGCTGCACGTAATTTACCAACAAATATATAGGCATTGATCTAGATAAAACAGAGTTAGTGTTAGGAGCACTACATAATAATCAAATCAACCTTCTCACTTACTCGAACATCATCATTTTTTATCATTTGAATCAATCCATCTTGTTCTTTGCTCTAGAAAAAAAGAAAATATAAATAATGTGATAAAAACAGATTAATACTAATTTTCAACGTACTTGTTCAATGTCTGAACCAGTTTGTCGTATACAACTATCGATTATCTCATCATGTAATTTCGTCTCATTATATCCATTTTCCTTTAAACATGTCAATAATTGTTGAATTAATCGATAGTCATGTTTTTTTCCAATTTGCTTTGCACACGATGAAAATACAATAGATGGCGATAATGTAAACTCCTAAAACGAAATAAATATTAGAATAGTAACAATATGAATATTCATTATATATGTTGTGGAGAAAGTACAGAATTAGCGAATCAGTAGAATCGTTGGTGAATCTACAGGATCGTCAAAAATTCTGCGAATCTATAGGATAGCTAGCGATTCTACAGATTCGTCAGTGATTCTATAGATTCCCCTAATAAGTATTGAGAAAGTATAGAATAGGGTTTTGAACTTCGCTAGGGAATGTACAGAATTTTCAAATACTATATTTTTGGCTGGTTTTTCTCTCAGAAAAAAGGCAAATCTTTCAAATATAATCATGTCTCGCTCTTTTCACGACATTTTGCACTAATGGTGTAGTTTCAAATATACAGGGTTCATCCATTTAAGTGCGATGATATCAACTTCCATAATTCCGTGGAAATTTCAGAATTCAGAAGAATTAGTCTAACCGTCACTCACTCTCACGTTGCAGCGTCTTCCATCTCCAACTTACAAAGTCGTAGAATTGCAACTCTAGCTGGAATCCGAACAGAATCTGCCAAATTCTGCTGTCCGGATTTGTACATCCCCTAGCAAGTTCAAAATCCCATTCTATACTTTCTCAGTACTTATAGAGATTTGTTCTTTTTCTAGATTATGCATTCCAGAAGTATCTAAACAACCTTGATTTTTTATTCTTTCCTCGAACCGGAAGAAAAGAGCTAGAAGAGTTTCTAGTTAGAAGATGTGTGCATGAAAAACTCTATCAAAATTGCTGAAAATTCAAGTGTCGTGATCCAACTGCAAACAATTTAGTCAAACAGAGTACACATTTTTCAACGAAAGACGATGTCTTTAATTTCTTCATTTGTTTTCTCAGCAAACTGTTTTTAATTCACAAAAGATTGCCATCTGATTGAAACTGGAAAAATCGACAGCAAAAGAGTAAAGAATACCTCCGGAGTTCTCGATAGTAGAATGTAGTTGGATTGAGCTCGAAGAAAAATGTGTGCTCTATTCGACTAAAATATTGCAATTAGTTTTCAATCAGATCCTGGGACTTGATTTTATAGAATTTGTGTTTTTAACAATTTTAATAGTATTTCTATACACATGTTTATAAAAATGACACACGGAAATTCACCCTCTCCAACAAGAAAAAGAGGTCAAGGAGAGGATTCTTCACTTACTTCAATAATCTTATTCACAAGGTTAATAACATTGGCAACTGTATCCGATAATAATATTAAACTAGCGAGCAATTCTACAATAACATCATTTTTTGCAAATAGTGTCGGACAATTGATAAGTGTATTGGATCCGGTGCTATTATCAGAACGCCGAATTTGTGCATAAATAAAACGTGTTACTTCCATTTGTAAAAGAATTTTTGCTTTATAACTAAAAGATAGAAATCATCATAAATTCATTCACATGATAAGAACTAAAAAAAAAAAGACCATTGTAATAGAAAAGAAAATGTCTTAATTAAATTCAATAAGAAAATGATGGGGATAACATTTGATTTTACTAAATACCTGTGGACACGTGCAAGTGTTGATTCATTATTTGATGTTGTAACTGAAAAATCTCGGTTTTGTTGTTGTTGTTGACGATATAATTCAAAATATTCATAGGATTTTTGTAGAAAATCTAATCTCTTTTCATAGAAATCAATATAATCTTTTCGATTATGTAAATATAATTCAATATATGTATGTGCAACATTTAAATAATCATTCATAAATAATTGTAATTGTTTTAATGAATGAAAATATTTTTGTTCTTTTAAATAGGTACATGTTTGTTTTAAATGTGGTAAAAATAATTTTTTTATATTTGTATTGTCATTTTGTATATAATCAAATAATTGTTGAATTTCTCCACGTTTTAGTAGTGGTAGAAAAATATCATCTAAAAATATTTGTGTTACACATTTATTTTTGAGAAAATATTGAATTGCTGTTGTATATAAATTATGTCTTAAATAAAAAGAAATAACTAATGAATCATCACCATAATTTGTCAAATAGTAAATAATTTCGTCAAAATGTTCCCGTTGTTGTTGATCTTGTTGTTGTTTGTTAAGAACAGGCATTAATGATAAATTTTTCATATATTTTAAACCACCTGGACTAAATACGGATGATTTACGAGTTTCTTGATCTAAGAGAAAATTTAATTTTATTAAACGATTCATTGGTAAATATGACTCTTCTAAATAATTCACAATATCATTCAAAATTTTTTCTTGTTGACTTTTTGTATTTGTAGATGCTGATATATTTCTTTTAGTGTATTGTTGTTGATTACTAGTATCACCACCATTGGACGAAAATGTTTGTTTCTTTTTTAGACATTTTTCAAATTTTTTACGCGCCTCAGAAAATAGACCAATATACAGACAGGCCATTCCCCATTGTACCCATATTGTATAACTATCTAAATTACATCTGGTCGATATATCCATTGCTAATTGATATCGTTCATCATCTAACAGTTTATTTCTAATTCTTCGTAATGTTTCTTGTTGTAATAAATCATTTAACGTTGGTAAATCACAATTAGCCGTATTTAATCGATTTAAAATGTCAATCAAGTTAATGTATGTATCACAGGAGGATAAAAGTGTATGATTTGTTGTGAATAAATTTGTATTACCCGTCATAAGTTTCATTTTAGCAGCAAATAATAAATTTTTAATCATGTTCAATACTAGACCGTAATCAATTTCTTGATTTCTGCCATTTGTTGTACTACTCAATTGATTCGATAATTCTTCACATAATTTCAGTAATAATTTACCGATCTCATATTGATCACTATGTAATTCAATAATAGATAGACACAATGAGATACTAGGTGATTGATCATATGTGAAATCTTCACGCAAATTTTGATCATCATGTAAATTTCCTGTCAACTGACATCGTATTTGTTGATCATTTACATCTTTTCTTATTGATAAAGATTGTTGACTAAGATCTTGTTTTATAGATAGAGTGGTATCTACTTGTTGATGTTGATTATTTCGTCCTATACGTGTACGAGTATGTTGTTGGGACAATGAATTTGTATTCAAACTTGAAGCTAACTGTGAAAATGATAAACGTTGTGCGGTATTCTCAATTGGATTGTCACCATATAGAAGATAATCATTGGATGATGATAATAATGAATCATCTTTCATGACTAAATTTTTATTTTCAAAATAGATGGTTGCAATTGATGGACGTTTGAATCCAAGAAGAGAACGATTGCGAGGATCAGTACGATGTAGTTGTTGTCGATCCTCTACCAATTTGTTAACATTAGTCAAATGTTCCTGACCTTTACTTCTATTTCGTATTAGCGGCTGATTTTGCATAGCTGTTTGCTGAACACACTCGTTACAGGTTCGCTCGAGTTTAGTCTCAATCATTGTTAATTGTTCTGAACAATCTTTGCAAACAACACGTCCACATCTAAATAAACATAATGTTCGATATAAGATATTTTTTAGTAGTTTCTCTTAATCTACCTGCGGCAATGATGTCTTCTATTGAACATGGAAAATTGAGTCCGATTACAACACATACAAACAGATATATTTTCATCCTGTATCCAAAGTGATTTTGGTGGTGGAACGAGTGGCATTATAAAAGAAGAACTTTTTGAATCAATCATAGCAAGAGGTTTTGTTTGTATTTTTGAAATTGCGCTGTTTCGTTTTATTGGAGTTTGACGATCTTGAAATTTTGAGGAAAATGATGATGATAGATTACTTAAAAAAGATGTTGATTGCGGTAGTGCTGAATCCATAGTATCAGTTAATGGTGAATTTGTTATTGGTATCATACTGCTTGATACGAGACTTGTATTTGACGATGAAGGTGATATAGAGGAGGAGTTAATTTTTAAATAGTTCGTTTGCTGAACTTTAAAAGTTGGTTTTGCTGAACTTTGACTACTATTTAGTTCTCGTCTATGCGTAGCAGATGATAATAAGATTGGCGAAGGGTTAGTCGATATTCTAGTTGGTTTGATTTGTGTCATGGACGGTGAGAGCATTGTTGAACTGGTCATATCATTTCGCTCCGTGGGAGACGAAAATTGTATACCAGAATTACTACGAATTCTTGTTTGATAAGCCAGCGGCAATTGAGTTGAGTTTGTAAATGAATCATCATTTATTGTTAGCTCTTCTTTATTCTTCTTATTAACCACATGTAACTGAACAGTCTGTTTCGCATAATATTCAATTAAATTATCAATTTTTTTTTGTTCAGTTTTTAAATTATTTCCATCATATTTTTCGATACATTGTTTCAAGTGACCTATGGCTTTTTTAAGTATATCGATCGAAGCATTCATCATTAATTGTTCAATTATTAGTAGTGGATAATCAATTAATTGGATGTAGAAATTGGTTTGTTCATACGGTATACAATTAAAAAATAACGATAGACCATACAAAAGTGTTTGTAATTCTGATTTATTCAATTTCGAATCTTTTCTACCAAAATAATCATCACTATTGAAATTGTCAAGTGTATACTGAATTAAACGATATTTAACAAAATGTCGAGCAAATGGTATCGATGGTGTCGCTTGGTTCTTTTGACTAGAAAAGAAAGAGAAAATTAATTTGAGAGATGGCAGTTAGTATACACCATCGACTATTAACAGGCTGATGTAGCAAAAAAGTGTATTGACCTAAATCAAAACGTACTTAGTTGATGGCACATCATTAGTTAAATGTCCTTGTAATAGATCATGAATTAAGTCTGAACAATATTTCCATTTATCATTTTTGTTATCAATCATCTGAATAACATGTAGTATTTTATCGTTATCATTGTCTTTTAACAACCAACTAATATGTTCTTCAATTAATTTCATTTTAATAATGTTATTGTTGATATTTAAGTATTTATACCATTTATGTGCCATATCATACTGATGTTCTAATATAAATAAATCAGCGACAGCCGATGAATTTCTTAATGATTCATCCTTAGCCGACTGCCATGTTAAACATTTTTGTGATGTTTTTTTGATGGCCAACTCTGATAGATCATCATTTGTTGATGATACATCATCCGATGCTAATCGTGATAAATATTTATCAAATAAATTTTTTGCACTACGACATAAAATTTTATAAATTGACATTCCATCTAATTTTCTTTGTATTAACATCGTATATTCATTTTGCATTTTACATGCTGTTAAACAGAGCTCCAACAATGATATACAAACATCAATATTAAATTTATTCATAAATGTTAATGTTGAACGTATTAAAAGCCGAAAATCTTTTATTTTTTTAATATATCGATATGACTGCTCATTTGTTTGTTCACGTGCCAAATTAATTAATGAAATATCATACAATGTTGAAAAATATGGTGAATGAACAATAAATGCCGGTAATAGTGATTCTAATATTTCAATTATTGATAACCATTTTGATTCAGATGATAATTGAGAACAAAATTGTAATAATAGATCGTGTTGACTTGATAAATCGTTTAATGCCACGGCACGAAACCAGTCCTCGAGTAACATTGATTTTTGTAAGAGTAATGAAAAATACGTTTGAAGTGGTACGAGAGTGGGTAATGACGATAAAGCAATATCAGATTTACCGACCACTTTTATCAGATAAATGTTCAATATTTCTCCTAGAATTGGACTTTTTTCTTTAACAAAATCAATTGTATGTAAATCAATTAAGTGATGATGATGTGGAGGTGAATGTTTTGTTAAAATGTCTAACGTGGTTACTAATGATGATGAATTGGATGGTAATGAATTTGTTCGACGACGTTTTGTATTTATGCCACTTTTTATAGAGTATGAACAACATTCCATATTGAGATTTAGAGCAAATTCATTATCGGGCAATAATATTTGAATTTTATACGACTGATTGACAGAATCTAAATTACAAAATGATGAAATATTTTACGACTAGATGTGTGCGTGATAAAGACGATCACACCGTGATATTTACTGTCACTCTGACCATGATACAAAATCCTGAAGCGAGATTTGATATTGGAGAAACTAGGAGAAGGAATATATGTTTTTGAAAAATGTTGTTTCGATACGGCAATCAAAGAGAACGAGAAATCATTTCTTAAGTCGCTTGAAGTCTGTAGCTGTAGATTATTTATTTGATTCAATATCAACTAGTAACTATTATTGATCTATTTCTATACTTCTCAATTTTAAAATGAACTTAACTAAACTCCTCTCCAAAATAGAAGACCAGTGTCAAGTGAAATTTTTCCTGAATCGCTCTAGTAGCACGTTTTTGAAATTAGAAATATACCGTTTAACTCGGATGTTTCTGCATCAATTGTATTTGTCAAAGATTGTTTTAAATCGTCGGCATACGTATATTTTAAAATAAAATTGAATAGATCGAGTTTAGATAACTGTTTTGTCTTGTTGTTGAAAAATTGTTCGTATATTAACAATGGTACATATAAAATTTCTTTATCAATAACATGTTGAGTACAATTATTAACATAATCAATAACTGCATGATTTAATTGTTCTTGAACAAATCCAGGTGTTAGTACCACAATTGGTACTGATGATTTTGTACAATTTGTAAGTACAAATAATAATTTTGTATCATCAATTTGTGGTGCATAATATAATAAAGGATCATCAGGATCTAATTCAAAATCAAAATTTTCTAAAGATGAGGTTGATGGATCGAGACCATTGCGTAATATAAAATAACGTAATTCAAATAATGATAATTGTTTTAAACATCCAACATCGATACGTGTTGTCATATTAAATAATAAATGTTCTAATTCATTTTGAAATGGTTTTGAATACATAGTACGATCAACAGTCGATCGTATTAATTCAACATGAGATACAATAGTTAATAAATTGTATAAATTTATGAAAAAACATAAACGTTCTTCATTGGTTATTAACATATTTAAATCTAATGTTCCCAGTAACGGTAACAATGTTAAGATATCGTCATAATCAGTTGATTCGATTAGTTTCTCAATATGTTCAAGTGAAAAATATGGACGTAATGGTAATGATGAATTTAATGCTTCTAAAAGAGAAATCTTACATCAAGTTAAATGAAGTTTACAAAATCAAACTAACTTACTTCGAATAGAATCGATTAATTTTGTTAATAATGATCGAACAACATTATCAGGATGTCTGATTAATTGTGAATCATTATGTTCTTCATTAAGTTCAATATCTTCTAAATGACTCATTAATCGTTTTAAAAATCCTGAATGTCTTTTAGGCATTTGTTTTCGCAGTGTTGTTTGTCTTTTATACGAATAAATATCAATTGGTTGCATTAAAATTGAGCGTGCCGATATTTTATAATTGATGTTTGTCGAGAGAAGTGGACGAACAATATTTAGAGTAACAGCCAATGAAATATCAATATTAAGATTAGAAGTCATGACTTGTAATTGTTTTAAATCAATGTCAGGTTTTGCTATAATACGATTGATAATTGACATAGGGGAATGTTGAAGTAGATAAGTTTCGTCCAAGGGTTTCGCCGATGGTTGTGATGGTACTCCTGATATAGGAAATCTTTCTAATAAAATTCGAAAACGTTCAGTATAAGAATGAAATATTGAGAAGTAATTCATTGTCTCTGTTTTTAATGACATTTTACTATCTTTGACTAAGTTGACTATGTTAATTTTTGATTGATCATTATCAAATAAATCGGCTGTAGATTTAATCAAGTTTACAAATGCATATTTTGTTGTCTCTTCTGCTGCTAAATATTGTTGATAATAATTTATTTTACAATGTTGATCGAGTCGAATCAAATATTGAATTGTTTTCATAGCTCTACTACTATCTAATGGAATTGTTGCATCACATAACATTTCGCTGAAAGTTGTCATTTTTGGATATGCAGTTGATGATGGTGATGGACGATTTTGTCGAAGCAAATAAGCGTTACACAACTGACTATAACTTGTAATTATATCTTTTATTGATTTCATTGTTTTATCTTGTTGTTGTTGTATGTTTGATTTTGATGTAAACAATGGTAGATGATGTTGAGCCATATCCATTAGAGTCTTGGTCGTTTGAAGAGAGTTCATGTTCAAAGATAAATCGAATAACGTTAGTGTGACATAATGTTCTTGGTCAACATGAACAGAACATGGTAATGTCACTGATATTGTTTTACATGATTCTAATAATTGTTCAACATCTGTTTGAACAGATGTATTATCGAGTGCTGACGATGCCATACCTGCCAAAGCATTCAATGGTGATGTAGAAGGTATAGATGATGATGGAACAGACATAAGCGATGTTTGAGGAGACAAATATGAATTTAGTTTCGTTATTGTATTGCGGAATAATTGACTAAAACGAGCTTCAATAGCTAATGGATGTGATTCCATTTTAAATATCTAAAGTGAATATTTAACCATATAATGATATCACATGTTTTAATATTAGCAAACATACCCGAATTACTTCATTAGCCTCAGTAATTTTTCCTTCTTTCAAACAAATTGCTAATAAATTTTCTCTAGTCGACAATATCTTGGACACATTCGAGTGTGTAGATGTAGACATTTGAGCGGATGAAATGCTACAACAAATAACAATAATTTTTATTGCGTTGCATCTTTATTCATTTACTTTTGACTTTACCTGGAATTACTACTCTCTGATGTTCGCTTACGACGGTTTAGGTGTCGATCTCTGGCTAGAAGAAAGAACAAATAACAATAATTAATAAATTGAAGAAAGTATGACAGAGGAATCGAGATATAAAAATGAGATTTCGATCTAGAAATGATACACACTCATGTCCTACGATGGGCGGTTTTCCAATAGTAGGTGAACATTAGAATTTTTACCCATAAATTATTTCTTCGTGAATAATTATCATAATCTAGTAATTTCTGATGTTTTAAAAGAAAAAATTAACGTTTTCAGTAAAAATTTCATTTTTCAAGGAATGATTAAAGCTGCATGGCTAACAAATCAATAAATAAGTTAACTTGGAAACTAATTTTATTTTTCCGAATGTTTAAGATCTTAAAAATAACTTCTTCACAATCTTCGTCATAATCTGTATCGCTTTTGTTTATAACTTTGATGCATACAATAAAAGAAAACTTAAAGTTACAGCCCTGTTTTTTCAGACTAGTCTTTTGGCCAAATGTTTTCCCACAATCCCTAATGATTGGAAAATTTTTTTTATTCTAACGAATAGATTATGTGTCGAAGTATATTTGCTCCTAATTAATCCAGAATAATCTCATTTTCAATTTTTTTGGTCAAATATCCATCTAGACTATTGTTCGTCCTCTTTTTCGCAGATATAAAACAATTTTTCACATCTAATCGATCTCACTTACGTAAAGGTATAATCAAGTTTTTTAAACTGAAATTTGTTTTCTCTCCATTTTTTGTAGAGGCTATAGTATCATTTTTGAGTTCTGCATTATTTGTTAATGGCATTGTTGTTGTTGTTGTTGTTGTTAATAATTGATATCTCCATAATACTTCACTAATTATTGTATTCAATTTGACTGATCGTCCATGAAATTGATCACTTTTAATTGAACAAATAAAACATTTATCTAAATTTGTTTCTAATTCGATTGTATCGCGATCAATTGCTTTATTTTGTATTCCTTGATGTAATGTTCGTAATTCATTCATTTGATCTCTTAACATCATTAATAATTCATAGAGTATATTTTGATCTATTAAATATCCACTTTTGTACAAATATGACATAGTACTTGTTAAATTACTGGCCGAACTCACTGAACTACCATAAACAGATAAATGTTCATCATCATCATTATTATCTTCATTCTGAGACATTGGTCGACCGTCAATTGTCATCGATAAATTATTTCTACTAGTAATCGATACGTGTAAACTGTCATTTGATATCTGACTACGCATCGATGCTGAAATATATTTATCTGATGATGACAAAGATATTTGTTCCGTAGTTGTTGGTATTATTGTTGTTGTAATTATTTCATCTAGTTTTAAATCGTTTTGTTGTAAAAATATTAATGAAAATATATTTTCTAATATTTCTAGACGAAAACACAGTGGATATAACTGATTTAAATATGATTTAATTAATTTTAATGCATCATCATTTCTTATTTGTGATGATGGTGATAATATTAGTTGCAATACATTAGCTATAGATAAATAACCAGTAAATAATATGGTCAATATTGTTTGAGATAATGGTTGATCATTGATAGCATCGGTAAAACGAACTTTTTTTTTATCACTTGTTTTCGGATTATCATCATCAATATCGACACATGTTTTACGTAATTGTCCTAAAATAAGTTGTGGTTCAATCAAATTAATATTTAAATAACGATCAATCAATGATAATGATGAATTAGAATGCAAAGATGATAGTAAATCTGACACATTTAATGACGGTGATATACCATCCGTTTGTCTAAATAAAAAAGAAATAGATAAGAAAAATAAGTCTATTTTTGAATTAAATAGCAGCATAGGCATGAGAGAAAGAAAAAGTCTTTTCAGAATAGCCCGTAAAATATGAGACTTCTCACCAGTTATTTTTAAAGAGACATACCGTCAACTCTATTATCTAAAAGTATTACTCATCTATAGCATTTTTGAGTGTTTATATAAACATTGAATAATTAACGGATTATTATTAGAAATGAGAATGAGAAAGATGACATTTTATCCTAGAATATATAGTTTCGTTCAAGCACTTCTAAAGACGAGCATTCGAGAAAATAATGACCAAAATATCTAAAGTTTTTTGCTAGTAAAATAGATACTTATCAAGTATTTGACAGATAACTTAGTATGTACTTTTGAAATTTATGCAAATATTCGAAGTTCTTCTTACAAGTACTTTTAACAATTTGTATATAACTAAGCATTTGGTCTCAAGTATATTCACTAGAGCATACCTTTCTGATCTTTTGAACAGTAGGTAAGAAGCCTCATAAAACTATCAAAATTATTACAACTGCTTAATTTCAGTTTAAATTTAAAATCAATTTTGACTTATGCCTATTTTGTATTATATCATAACAAACGCACAATCATTTTTATTCAATACTTACAAATCAGCCCTACAAAGAAGAAAAATTAAAATGGTAAATAAAGCCTGTGTAATAGTGCTTGTAAATAAAATAAGCCGATGAGTGCAGCCACCTTACACACCTTCTCACATTAAGTAGCCAGGATATAAACTCAATATGACTTTGAAATAATTGACGACATTTGATAAGTTTGCAATTTTTTGTATTCTAGAAACAACAACAACAACAACCAGACATTCGTTGATAATCAAACTTTTATCTAAATTTTATTACCAATGACAAGATTGAATCATTTAAGACAATTGCATCATGCAACGTTCGTACATTTGTCCAACAAATTAAAAATATTATTAAATGCAATGATGAAAATTCATTCATATTTAATAATTGATCAAAGGATGAATAATCTCGATTTTGAATCATTGAGCGTGCATCTTGCTACGTAAAGTAGAAGTAATAGATAAATACAAAAAATATTTTATTTATGTAATGCACATACCACAACAGAGAGCGCCAAATCTTTTCCCATTTCTAATATGTACAAATATAAATCATTCCAAAACAATTTTTGATTAAACGAATTTTTATTCCAAAAATGCATTATAATATATGTATTGTTGGTGTTGTTATTATCATTATTATTTATCATAATCATACGCTGTTCTGCTTCTAATGTTGAAATATATTTACATAAATCACCGTTAATAATTGTAGATTTATACAATGATTTTAAATTAAAATGATTTCCATTTAATGTATTATTAGTAAAATAGATGAGAATTTGTTTTAATGTCTGTTTCATTATTGATTTGAAAGATGAATCACATACGTATAGATGTAAGCCAAGTAATTGATCATATAAACATTGTTGAAGACCAGAATCCATTGTTTTCGATGCTATTAACTTTGTTATACAATTATTTAGCGCTTTTTCATGACTACGTAAGAAAAATTCATGGGTAAATGTACAATAAAGTGATTTAACAATCGAATAAACACGTGATGTTTCAGATGACCACAATTGTTCTAAAAAATCGGACATTGAATCATTTAATAAAGATGGCCAATCATATTTCGATATAACATCTTCACTTTTCAACTGTTGATAAACTTGATGCAATCGATAAAAATTCTAAAATGAATTAGTGAAGCAAACTCGCACGAGTTCATTCATAACGTTATGATTTTCCTCCCATTTTCTCTTGACTATACACAGTTAATACTTTTCCTGATTCCTTATCTTAACAAGAAAGTGACTTCACTTGTCCTTATCGACAGTAAACGAATGTTGTCAAATTAGAAGGCAATCCTTTCTAAAAAAAATGTTATGTTTTAAAAGCAGATATATAATTGAGCTCGAATGAACTGAAAAAAGTGAACATCTAATTAGCCGTCGATTTAAATCCATTCTCAAAGAGAGAAAAGGAAGATTTCATAACAACATCAGTTGAGTTTTAGCAGTAGCGATTCGGTGAACAGAAGGTTTTTTTCTTTCTTAATCTTCCTTATGTAACTGTATTAATTAACTTATACTGCATTTCTTCTTTATGAGACAGTTTCTAATATGAAGTACAAACTCTCTACCTGGGCGACGTCAACAGACGGTTTTATTTTTCCAACAGCCAATAGATATCTGAATACCGCATCAATTTTCAACGGGTTGAGTATATTCTAAATAAAAAAAAATGGATTAGTATGTACTTCTCGACTAGAAAAGCAGTTTGAACATACCATTTCAAGATAAAATTTGTTTTCACATTCTTGAGCAAGCAATAAGGCAAAATGGTATGGAGAAGGAACAGAGTTTGAACCAATACTAAAAAAGAATGGTACAACTAATAATAAATATACAAAACGTAAAATCTGAGTAATTTTTACCAATATGATTCTGGATTTTTAATTATTTCAATTAATAATTGTTCTAAATTACTACTCTTCAGCTGAAAACGCTCATTATATAATAATTCCAAACAAACACGAGAGAACTCCCATTGTCCTAAGTAGACATAATTACAAAATGCTTGATATAAATATTCTAAATTTTTTGTTTCAACATCAAAAAACTCGTGTTGAAGTTCTAATATACTCATTTTATCTGAAGAAACAGAAACTGTATGAAAAAGTCGTGCACATTTATAGAAATGTCTTTAGTCACTAAAAGCAGTAATCATCGTTTCTTAATTATTTTTTCCTGTGTCGAAATATGAAATAGTATTATAACAAATACTTTTAATTTATGATAAAAATAAATAACAAAAATAATAATTTTAGATACAAAAAAAAATCAGAAAAATTCACACATTTGACGCTTCTTCTGAATAAAACACAAAATTGTATGAGGAAAAAAAAACATCAGTCTAATCTACATACACTTATTCCAGTTTAGACTCGCCTCATACTCAAGTATAAATCAATATGCCAGAGAGGGAGAGAGAGAGAAGAGAAAAACATTCTCAAAGGGGTTTCCATCCAGAGAATAGACCTTTTGTTGGTTTTGTTTTCGTTGTTGATACAGTTTGATGTTTTTGTTCTTCGGCTTCCTAAAACGAGACAAAAACACATCGAGATAAAAATTGAATCTGTTTTGTCACGCTTAAACTTACTAATAACTCTTTTTGTCGAATTAAAAATGCTTCCAATGGCTCATTCTCTTGATTATATTGATCTAATATATCACGTATATCCTCTACACCACTAACAGCAATCGCTAGAAAAATAAAAACAATATTTCATTGAGTAAACATGCGTAGCAGCACACATACTTTTTAAGAAGGTGGCTAAATGTAGTAACGTTCGATCATCATCATTACCATTCCATCTTTTTAGATGATGTAGAGCATTTCTTGGCTGTAATGAATAAGCAGCTTCATCCCAATCCAAAAATATAATCCTTTTCAAATCACGATTTAAACGTGATAAATCCTA